ATTATTATATATATCTACCAGAGCCGAAGAAATGTGCGCCCGCGTCTCCAAAGGCGCAGAAGTAGAAGCCGTTTCACTGATACGTAAACTGACGTAAACCGCGTTGCAGCCACATCAAGTGTGGCATCGTGGAATTTCTTCGTCCATTATTGTTAGACGTAGAAAGAATCTCTCCATGCCAATGTTTGTTTCAGCGATCCAAGAAAAAAAACGGCTGCGACGAATAATAACCTGATATTCGATTATTTAATTATGTTATCTTTTGACGATATTAATATTAATATATATTCGATATTGTTTTGAAGTGCTCGTTGTTCTTTTTTATCCTACATATTCCTACATATTTTTGGAAAATTGATTACGGAGTCTTACTCTAACGTAAGTTCTGAGCTAATGTTAATATAAGCTCTAAATTTTATAACTAATATTTAGATTAAGTTAATTTGTTTGAAGCTTAGAATTTACGACTTGCCAGAAATTGACATGTCAGAAACGCTTTTTTTTGGAAAAAATCATAGTACTTATCTTGATCTACAATAGGTATAGTAAGCTTTTTGCTCTGAGTTGCTTCAAGTTCTAAATTTTACTATAGTTGAGGTCTGGTCAGCTTTTTAAATTTAGATAGATTACAATATGTTTATATATATAAATAAAAAAAATATATGTATATACATATATATTTTTTTATTACAGGTTATCTGACCTGTCTAACTTGCTTGTTTTTAACAATACAAAAAAAAATGTCAAACAAAAGTTACTTGGTTTCGAGAAGCACATAATGTGATGTCAATAATTGTAGGTGGAGGCGTAGGGGGGATAGGCAAAGGTCAAATCTATTTTTTTAAATGGAATGATATGTTTTTTTATTTACATTCTGATAGAGCATTTTAAGACGAATACAATGACCTATAATTGAAGGTTACGCAAAGTCAATAATGGAAAATAATTGAATGTAATGGAAAATAAATTGTTTCGAAGCACTCTTCGAATAATTTCGTGTCTTTTCTTCTTGTTGGTATACCGCTAATTGTTCAAGTGTATCACGGTATGTAAATAAATATTGAAGGTTTATTTAAACGAGGTTAGCTGTAATTGAAAATAAATTGTTTGAAGATCTTTTTCGAATATTTCACTAATTTATTTATTTGTGTACTTACCGTTACAACAAGTGTTCAAAATGATGATCCTGAACATCGACGCATTTTCTGAAACGTGTCGACACAGATAACACTGCACGGCGAATTTCATTCGGATCAATCGCAACGCAAATTCTTATACGCTCCTTCATGTCTTCTCTTGTTATCGGCATTTCGATGTATATTTGTTGTTTTAATTTTCCCTATAAATAAAAATCCATAAGTGTTAAATCTGGGGAATGTGCGGCCTATGTGTTATTTCCTGACCGATCAATCCAACGATCTCTAAATTTTCTGTTTAGCAATTCAGTAATAATCCGTGCAGAATGAGCAGGACATCCATCTTGCTGGTACCACATTGATTGTCGTACGTTCAGTGGAAGATCTTTTAATAATAGTGGTAATATTTCTGTTAAAATTTGTGCATACTTGCGACTATTTAATGGTCCATTGATAAAATAAGGACCAATTATTTTATCATTAAGAATTCCGGCCCAGATGTTTATAGACTAAGGTCTCTGCCTGTCCACTTCTCTCATCCAATGGGTTTTCTACTGACCAATAGTGCATGTTGCGAAGATTTACTTGTTCATTGTTTGTAAATGTAGTTCGTCAGTAAATAAGATTTTAGTGACAAACACATCTTCTTGTAGTCTTTGTAGTGCTCATTCATAGAATTGTACACAATTGATTTTGAAAATCATTGCCATGTAACTATTGATGAAGTGAGATATGAAAGCGATGAAATTTATTGGAATGAAGTATTTGCAGAACACTTCGTCGACTAATATCATTTTCACATTCAAGCTGTCTTGTACTGATATATGGATTTAGTGCTACAGCGGCTAAAATGTTCGTTGAATTTCCATTGTCAGTTGCCTTCTTGATTCGTTTGCGTTTTTTATTATCCACACTTCCTGTTTCTTGAAAAGTTTGTACTATGTTTGAAAAATTGTTTGATGAATTCAAACTGATCAGTAAATATGGATAATGCTATATGCGATTCAATTAAACGGTATGTAAATATTTACATACACTTGAACGATTAGCGGTATATCAACAAGAAGAGAAGACACGAAATTATTCGAAGAGTATCTTGAAACAATTTGTTTTCTATTATATTCAATTATTTTCCATTTTATTGACCTTGCGTAAACTTGAATGACCTTCAATTATCATTTATTGAATATGAATTATAGGTCATTGTATTCGTCTCTAAAATGCTCTATCAGAATATAAGTAAAAAAACATATTATTCCATTAAAAAAAACAGATTTGACCTTTGCCTATTCTTTACGCCTCCACCTACAAAACAATTATTGACATCACATTATGTGCCCCTCGAAACCAAGCAACTTTTGTTTGACATTTTTTCTTCTATTATTAAAAACAAGCGAGTTATTCAGGTGACCTGTTTTTAAATGCCCCTGTCTGTATATAACGTATAAAGATAGCATAGAAAACGTTTTTTGCCGAAAAGAATGTTACAGTTTAGAATTGGAGCCAAAAATCACAATACTACATCTATGTTGAGAGAAAAGTGTTTTGATATTTGTGACTATAATTATATGGTAAAATAATTATGGTCAAGTACTTCATTATAATTAATACTATAATGTTAATAATGTTATAATGTTAATAATTATATTTATACTTCTATTCAGAAACACTACATAGTTTTCGAAAAGGATTATAAATTATTAAAAATTATTCATCATAATTATTATACCATTTGTTTTTCTTTTATAATTAATGTATTGTAGATTAGTTTTCTAAAAAATGAATAGTAATGGGAATGTAGTTCGTGAGATTATTGGACATTTTTACGTGATCATTTGAATTTGCTCAATTTATTTATCTTACTTCTGCAACATGTACAAGTAAGGCAGCCTTGTGACATCAAGTTCCATTCGATAGATACATTCGATAAATTCGTAGATACCTATGAGAAAACTCGTGGCACGATAATTAATCTCTAATTAAAATCTTAATAAAATGTTGCAAATATTTAGAAATATACATTGTGGACGTTATGCAAATAGTGCCTTTACGTTCTGCTAATAGGTACATATCACATACATACATATACATATATTCCTTTTCTTTCAAGAATCCTGCGGATTCGCTAGGTGAGCTTTACATAGCGAAGTTTTTCTTAGATTCCTATTTATCGTTCACTTCGTAAAAAAGCGATTGATCACGATCACGCTAAATCTACGTGTATGGACGGATACTTTGCTAAAGGCAGGTATATAAAAATGCTTTCGGTAAGAACAAGATCGGTGAGATCTCGCTTACTTAATGAAAACGGTATAAGTCTATCAAATAGTGCGTAAAGTTACCTCTGAGAAAGAATGTAATGCCTGTATGGCAAATACAAATGTTTTATCGCAAAAAATTTGTTTAAATGTTCGAACATATCATCGTAGAATTCTTATCTCTGCGCGAATATTCGATAAATAGAATGTATTTATTTACAGCTAAGCTTTGTAACGTAGATATCCTTAAAGCAATTAATTTATTATTCTATTAATACGTGAGAGTTACGTACGGACGTTGGATATGCTTGGCAGTGTAACACCGTGCATCCGCAACAGATTTGGTAATCCCTACTTCTTATTAACACAAGATATCGGATTAAAAGAAAACTTTTTTTTTCTGTATACTTTTAACATAAGGAGAAACTTTGATTGCTCTGATATACACCTCATTTGTCAAACAAAGAGCAATGAGATTGTACAATTACGAATATGAGGTATGCTTTTATTTTCACAGCTTAGTTGCAACAAGGTCAACAATGAATTAACTTTCTTTATATCGTTAAAATATTAATACGTATCTCTCTCCGCTCTGCTTCTGACAATATTTATCAAACAATACACATAACGTTATATATGCTCATTGTATCGCAAAAAGTTCTTAACAATTGATTTTTCTTAAAAATTATCAACAAGTTTTGTCTCCAGTGACTGGAGATTCACTTGGGTCATTTAACTGATCAACGACGATTTCGTTATTAATAGTCTATTAAATTAGTATTTTATTAGATATCATTTGAGGACGTAATTGGGATTAAGTAACACGCGTCGTTGTAACAAACAGTCATCCTCTTTAGAACACCTACATAAGACACGCTACAAGTGCGTAACAATTTCCGAAAGTCATTAACGATTGACTGAATTGAATGTTGAGATCTTTATCACATCGTGTGAAGAAAGAATGCAGTTCATTTCAACTATACATATTTATAATTCTATTAATGTTTTAATATAAAGATTATTCTATTAATATAAAGATTTAAAGCAAAAACGTTAAATTTTTAATGTATATTGTACGTATATGAACACTGTCTGTTAAGCCGAAGTCTTGACGGGCGATTTCCGTGAAAATTTTACACAGTATTTATCTCTGTAAAACTCGAAGAGTGAAATATCATTCAAAGTGAGTAAGATGTAATGTGTAACGAAGTGAAAATTGAACCCCTGCACTTCGAATGATTTGCCACTCTAATTAATAGATAAATTACATTCCATAAATTGGAGTGAATTCCTATGTAAAAGAATGACGTATATAGATCAGCATGTATACATTTTTTGAAATTAATGTTCAACAGATATTATTCTTATGTTTGTTATTTTTAATTTGCCTATCTTCTTTACGTTCTTATAAGGTAGATCTTATAATTGATTTAGTAGTTGCTCTGAAAAAAAAAATATTGTCGCCATAGTGAGAAAGTAAAATAGCAGAGAAATGCGCGAAATTAACCTAATCATTATAGATTTTACCTAATCATTCCCGCTTTCTATACGGATGTAGCGTCGAATCTTTTTTACGAGAAGACATCTGTTGAGAGTTTCGCGAAACTCTCTTTGCACTAAATTAAAGTGAAATAAATTATTGCATAGGGCACGCCACGTATAGTCATTTTAAACATTTGAGTGAAAAATTTACTCCTAGCTTATGATTGCCCGCGTTTACTGAAATTAGAGTGAGAACTCTCTCTTATAGTGGCTATTGCAATTACTTTAATATTAATGATATATAAGTCCACTCTACGATTTAGAGAGTATACATTCATCCTAAGCGCGGATTCGGTGGATTTATGCAAAACTCGCATGCTTACTGATCGTTTTTCAGCAAAAAATAGTGTATAACATAGTGAATCATTTCATCCTTGTTTAACATTGACAAAGATGCAATGATTCATTGTGTTATGGTGTCAACTGTATCTCTTGCTAGAAAATTGACGCTCTATGTCAATTCAACATACGTGTTACAAATAATTATCGTAATATTTTTTTTAACATATCAAATTATAATTTACCGCAGAGTTTTTCATAATGTAATAAAACTCTTCATCAGTTTCTACAGCTAATAATGAGTCCACATCAGTTTCTGTATCTAACAATGAATATCCGCTCCATTCCCGATCATTTCAACGGGGACTTACTGTGCGTGTATATTCCAATATTCAGTTCATGACCATTGGAAATGGCACGAGTTGGAAGTCGGCAGCGTATTGTTATAAACGATTGAAAATCTCTTGTTGTGCAATAGCTGGCAGTGCTTATCGCTAGAAGACATTTGGCATACACTTCGGATGTGCCCGAATTGTGAACTGCTGGTCTAAGAGTCGCCGACGTCTGGAGAGCTACATTGCTGTTTCTAATGGTTGACTCTTGCTTCGCGTGGCCGCCGATAGCTGCGTGAGTTCCGTGGGCTCATTGACTAGGAACGCGTCCAGATTGGTCTCGAGCAAGACTTCGCTCTTCGAGCGTAATGGCTTCTCTTCACCCGTGTCGAAGTTGGTCTCTAACAGCGCCTCGCTCCTAGGTCTACTCTCGGCTTCATAATGATAGGGATGTGGCGGTACCGGTGGCTGAAAGTCCGATGCGTATTCCGGAACGGGCTCGGATGCCTGACTCGGAGTTAACGTAGTCGAGTCATAAGGGGGCTTTAAGTAATCCATAGGATCGTAAACGCCTGACGATACCTCGATATCGCGTTTCAATTCGATCATGGAATCAGTGAGTGCGATACTGGAATGCAACGGCAACGTAGACGTATTGTTGAGATACGACGAGCTCTCATTGTTAGCATACACTGTGGGACTTTCATCAAGTGATGTCGACTGTATGTTTGGCGGTGATGACCAGTTAGAAGCGGCGGCGGCGGCGGCGACGGCGCCGTCGGCAATACCGTGCCTTGCCGCAAAAGTAGAATGATTGCGGAAGCCCTCATTACGGTATGCCAGGTCAAAGACCGGATTATCGACACTCTGCGCTGCACCGTACTTCTGCACCGTATTTTTAAAGTCGCTCGTGCTTGGCGAATATCGCGGATTATGAGCCTCGTATACATCGTAACTCTGATTATCTTCTATTGAGGAGTTCAGTTGTGACTTGTCCATAGAGTCCAGACTGCCACCGTTCAGCATGCGCTTGTAATTTGAGTTCAGCGTATCCGTGGAATGTTTGGTCTGAAATATGTGAAAAAAGATTATTTAAGAGATGTTCCGCTTAAAAATTTTTCTTAGAATTCTTTATATAATTTTTCAGAACTTTTATATAAATTTCAATTTTTTCAGAATTTCTGTACAATTGTTTAGAAAATTTCTTAGATTTCTTCATATACATGTATGTAAATTTTGAAATATTCTAAGATTTCTCACTTTATAATTTCTAAAAAAATTTTATAAAATCTAAAAAGTTTAAAGTATTTTTTTCTGAAAATTTATTAATTAAAATGTGACAAGCAAGTTCTTAAAAATATTATAAAATTTCTTTACTAGGAGTACTAATGTTCTTAACTTCTTTAAAGCTAGATTAGGCCATTTACACATTTAAAGTCTTCAATTAACGTAGCTTATACAATTTTAATCTCTATTATGCACGTTAATTCTAAAAACCATTTGCATTTATTTACTCGGCTGATCACAATCCATATTTACCGCGATAGGCTTTCGGCGATAAGCGAGTTCTGTGAAGCCGGACGTGGAGCCGACCGATCGCAGGGAATGTAGGGATTGCCTGATAGAGTTACGTCGCTCCAGTCTCTCAAGCTTACGCTTCTTCGACTTGGACGCCCACAATACGATCGCCGCAGTTAGCAATGCGAGTGCAATGCCAACAGCTCCCAAAACACCCACCGCAACGATATCTTTCCTCCAAGACAAAGGATCGATGTTGACTCTGGGATCTGTCAAAAGATGAAATGATTTTTTATTATTTTTTTGCTTATATATTCTTTTTATTTTATTACCACCCAACTATATAAACACTAAATATTCATAAAATGTTCGACTTTTCAATGTTCGACTTTCCAATGAATTCCAAATGTTCCATATATTCATACACGGTTTTCTGGAATAGTAGACAATGTTGACAAAATGCTCAAATGATAATGAAATGAGAATTTAGAATATTATAAAAAAAAACATTTTTTTACTATTAAACTCGCTCAAAATATTGCGTCGTATATTTTAACTCAGATGGTTTTTTATTTACGTAAAAAAACTTATTCATTCGTTAGTAATACGTATCCCTGTCAATAAATGGACACGATGAAATTGTATTTCTTGTAAGTAAAAAAAACTATCTGGGATAAAATACGACGTAATATTTTGTTCGTAAAAGTCTCAAAAATTAGACTCCTAGGTGAAAGTATTATAAATGAATTGTATTTTTTCAAAAGTATAATTCTGTTTAAAAATTAATTCGGAGATCTGGTATTCTTAGGAGAATTAATTTTTCGGAATATACATGCGCGCACGCGCGTGCGTGCGTGCGTGCGTGCGTGCGTGCGTGCGTGCGTGCGTGCGTGCGTGCGTGTGTGTGTGTGTGTACACGGAATATCCTCCGAATATATAATGATATGTGAATGGTATATATTTTATTTGAATATTGTTTTTACATTTTGCAAACGATGAATAAATCTCGGTAAGTCAAAACAAATTTGATTGCAAGATATAATTAAAGATTTTAATATTCATTAAACGAATCGCTTATTTAGATAACTAAAAATATTTTAGGTAACTCCGGCAAATACCGTGCTGGGATTTAGGCCGCAAAGTAAAAAAAAATAGAAGGAGTGGGGGTAATTTTCCCGCAACTACTCTGTTACATGCCTTTATGTTATATTATGTTAGTATTGTGTTGATTTTAGTTTCTTACTATTAATATTAATGAATTTATTGTAAGTTGAATCGATTTTTCACTGTAATAACGCCATCATAAATTATAATCTACATAAAATGATTAATATAGGGCGTGTAAAAGATTTAATGATTATTTGGTGATACATATGTGTAGTAAAGCATGTTGTGTAACAAAATACAAGTGCTTTGTTTTCGTATTCTTTGTTTAGTCTGTTGTCTTGTATATCCCATAATGCCATATATCTCACCTGTTTGGGATATATGGCATTTTTAGTGAGCGAGATTTATGCCCAAAGCGTACAAAATGCGCAGATTGAATTCAGTGCACTAAATGCAATAAACGCATTATATGAAATATGTACCTCATGTCAAAACATTTGTAATATATGTAGGAAGATTAAATTATTATTTATTACTATATATGTCATTATACGTCTTATTTATATGCACATTATTTGTAAATTTTTCATAAGCCGTACATACTCGCCCCCCCTCCCCCTATGAGTAGCTATATATCCCTATGGGATATACGACAAAAATGCAAGGGTTTCAAAGTTTATTTTTTAATATGAAAAATAAATATTTCAGATTTCTAATATTTTTTTCATAGAGTAGTAGACAGTACAAAGTTTTTACTGAGATATAGTTCGTTTACTATACAAACACATAGTAAATAATACTTAATAAATTAAGTTTTTAATAGGCGCGGCGTTATGTATTGGAGTTACCCTATAGATATTGGAATATTTTTTGAATGTTACTTTGGGACTTTAGAAATATTTCAGAAATATTTATTAAAGTATTAGTTGGATCGTTATGATATTTTGCATACCGATTTCACAAATAAACAAATTGGGTTGCGCACAATGATCAATCTCAATGGTCTGATACGTAAACATCGTGCATTGATCCACACGTTCCAATTGTTGCACCCATACACGCTCTGAATAATCGAATCGCTCCTGTTGCTTACGCGCGAATTTCCAGAGTTCCAGATAATCTCCCATGATGAATGGCATCGACGCATTTGCCGACTGCGAGAGAAAAGAAAGACAATTTAACAAATATGAAATAAAGGAGCATAAGAGACTAAGTACATGATATTAAGAGACACAGATTGAATATCATGCACCTAGCTAAAATAACTCACCCTGCAAAAGTCTCGCGCACTATAAAAGTCCATCGGTGCGCCGATCAATATGTAGCACGTGTCACCAACAAGATTCCAGGCAGGTGGACACTTGCCACTTAATACCGACATATTATTCATATGGAAAGGCTGATAATCCACCTGTAATAGTTCAAATGAATCTTCACGGTCTCTGATGCGTCCAGCCACTGCTAAAGTTTCATTGTAACCCCACCAATTGTGCCGCGCGTCTACGTGAGATCTCCAAATTTCCAGTTGTCTAAATAAATGATTTGTTTAATGAATGTTAAAATTTTTAATTAATTATCTTGTGATTAAATTTGTTTTATCTTACTGAGATTTGTTCGTCGTTTGCATTTCATAATCGTTGTCGGGATTAAAAAACACATTATCAACATATTGCTGACCAGGTGTACCAGCAACAATAGTGCTACGGCCTTCACGATCGACTGCGTAGTTTCTATAAAGTAAATATTCATTTCTTCCGATTGCATCTGAATAATTTTATAATATTCTATAACATAAATAACTTTCGCACGTGATGATAAAAAAACATAAAGCAGGAAGACATAAAAAAATTAACGAGTAGCTCACTTGTAGAAGCCGTTGTGAGATGTGCTTTGATAGAATTGTGAACGGACTTTCTCGAATCCCGAAATCTCCAATAAATGCATACCAAGGTTTCCATGTAAGTAATTGAATGTCATGTTGCTGACCACTTGTTTCAAAATGATATTATTGTCATACGGAGCGTTATTCTTGGTGAAATAATTTCTGAATATAGTCATCTGTTGATAAGGACTGCTCTGACGACCCTCAACGAACCTGAAGAGCCACAGTGTCACTACTGATTTTTATAAACATTATAACACTGTACTTACAATGCAGGCTTATTGAAGTTTTCTGTGAAGAGATTATTATGAATCCATCCCTTAAGGGACGTTGCCGTACCGCTCGAATCGGCACGAATTGTAAGACCGCCTTGATTTCGTTGTACTAAATTATTCTAGAACACAGTTTTAAATGATTAGAAATCTCACGATGTTTTGAGAACGTTATAAATTAATCATATTTTTACACACACTACGCACGCACGCATGCACGCACGCACGCACACTCTCGTCAACAAAAATTATCGCAAGATCTTTCATAGAGTTATGCTTACTTGAAGTTATGCAAAATTTTGGTATAAATTTATGTTGTGATAATTTTGTTGACGAGTGTGTGTGTATATATAATATGTATATTTATATATCAAGTATCAGGTGATTTATTTTAATTTTAACAGAGGCAAATATCTCGAAAAATATGGAAAATATGGAAAAATATTTCAGACAAAAACTATATGGTTCGGAGGGGGATATAAAGTACCATTAATTTGACCTTGGGTGTCGTTAAGATCAGGCCAAGGTCATTTAGAATTTTTTAAATATAACCTCCCATTTTCCATTACATATTCTCGCGCATACTCCAAGAGTTTTTTAAAACGCTTTGATAAAATTGTTTTTCATTAAGAACTTTTTCGAGTTAAGACTTAAAAGTTATAGTATCACCGGCATTAGCAATACTCAAGGTGTCCGATCGATGGCTAAATCTCTTGAATGTTGTTCATGACTTGTTCATGACTCAACATTTGTCAAGATAAAGATCATTGGAAGTTAATTCTCTTATTTTCATTTTTGCACTAAAAATTCATTTTTACGTAAAAATGAAAATAAAAGAAACAATCTCCAATGGCCTTGATCTTGACAAATGTTATTCAGATCATCATTCTGAACAATATCCAAGAGGTTTTAGACGTCAATCGGACCTTGGGTAATGCTAACGTCGGCAGTATTGTATAACTTCCAATAGTAAACACGATAGTTTTTTGCACCCATGCCATGTGTTAAATGTTGTCTGTAATATAATATAATATTATATATTATATTGTTTTTGTAATGTTATAAAGAACATTTTACTAATAAATTATAATTAAGTTTTTTTAACACGATAGCAATAATAAAATGTATTGTTTTAAACGTAAATGCAATATATTTTTAATTTATAACTATTCATGCATATTAAAAAAATATTCATTTTCAGATTATTAAATAACTTAATTTTTTAGACAACCGACATTTGAACTTTTATTCCTTTCTTTTGTAGTTTGGAATGTCAATTTTTTTAAGATATTGAAACATATTTTTTCTTTAAATATTTTTGCTTTAGAGTTTTATATTTTTATATAAAAAAGTGCATTTTCCTCATTTTGTTAACTATATTAAGGGCCGATTGTTCCATCTTCAGATAAATAGTAGTAATATTCAGATATATAGTAATTTACCTATTGGATAAACAAAAGAGTAAAAGAGTAAGAACATAAGAGAGCAAAAGAGTAAGAAGTGTGCAAGCAAGGAAGTTCCACATTGCTTGCACCTTGCTGCACTCGATTTCTTTGACGTTATGAATATCGTATTGGTATCAAGTGTTACATCCAACGGACTCCCATTATTCTTTTCTTTCGTGGAGATCTGGAATTCGTTGAAATAAAGAGACAGCTGCAAATATCGAACAAGTTATAGCCTAGAAAAGACTATAAAATTTTCCTTTCCCACACTAAAAACTAAAACAAAGAATCCAGTATCTCCTCGTAATGTCGCTCAGAGATAAACTAAAAATCGGTGCACATGCACGAGCGGCGGGACCAAAAGAACACCGAGTTTGTGCCCTTCGGACACTGCGACTAAAATTATAATAAATATGTCATTGGAAGCATAAGACTGACGCCAAGATACTTTTAACGGTCAAGTCGCAGACGATTCTCACGAGTCCGTGATCATAAAATCTAAGACATGATACGCGACGTTTAGGGGGTGGCATTTAGTGGATCCGTGCCGACGCTGCACGTGCGCTTTTCACATAAATTTTAAGATCGTAAAATTAAGGGTTACACTTCCACACGCTACAGATTTCGGTCAATGTCCTCTTCCACTCTTGATCAATTAGAAAGTAAGAAATAGGTCCCACCTAATTAACGGACCTATTTACCAATCAGTGCAGTGTTAATCGAGGGAGATTACTATAAAAATCCCGGTTCCACGAAACTCAGCGCCTTTTTTCCTAATTTCTCTCTGGAGACGGACGTAGCAGTCTGAAGTTCTTAATTTCTTAACCAACACTTAGAACTCAGAGTTTAGAAGCAGTGCGGAAGAAATTCCATCGATCTCGCATACTTGGCCAGCGAGACTTAAAGACTTAGAGTCAGTGCTAAAGAAACATCACCGACCTCACACATCCTGGTCGGAGGATCCCCATCTCAGTAGTAAGTCGGTATATCTCTACTCTCTGGGCCCTCCTCGCTTTTTCTTTCGATAATTCATTTCAATCATATTTCAATTTGTCTTTTTTTATTATTCATTTATTTTTATTTTATTTTTATTCTTTTCTTTCTTTCTTTTTCCCTTTTTGATCTTCCATGTACAAGAAAATAAAAACATTGCAATCTGTCACGTTATAATTTCAATCTGTTTCGCCGTTGCTTCACGATAATTGTGGCCCCCCTGTTGACCGGTCGCTTGTGTCCGCCCCATTAATACGAGGGCAAGTCAATAAGTTTTTAGAAAAACATAATAAAATACATTTTTTTTTATCGATTCATTTTTATTTCTCAACATAGTCTCCTTTCAGCTCGATACACTTGATCCAACGATACACATTCTCTTTTTCTTACTTTTTCAAGCCGTCCGAATAATATGATTTGTCCAACCCTTCAAAATAAGCCTGTTTCGGCGATGAGCTGCTCTCTGGTGATGAATCTCTTTCCTCAGAATCATTTCTTTAGGTTTGGAAACAGGAAATAATCGCAAGGTGCTAAATCTGGCGAATATGCTGGATGTGGAAGCAATTCGTAGCGGAATTCATTGAATTTGACCATCGGTGCCGGGCACGTGAACCCGTGCATTGTCTTGATGGAAGAACACTTTCTTCTTCGCCAAATAGGGACATTTTTTCTTTAAAATGTTGTTAAAACGGTCCAATAAGGCTGCGTAGTAATCGCCATTGATCATTTGCTTCGACGGAAGGTAATCGATATGAATTATACCGCGTGCATCCCAAAAAACTGTGATCATCACCTTTCCGGCCGACTTCACGGTCTTCGCTTTTTTCGGTACTAATTCACCCGGTGAAGTCCATTGTTTTGATTGGTCCTTCGTTTCGGGTGTGAAGTAATGGATCCATGTTTCGTCTACAGTAATGAATCGACGCAGAAATTCATCTGGATTACGTTGAAACATATCCAAACATTGTCTTGAAATCGTCACACGGTCGCGGGACTTATGGTCCACAGTGAGCAAATGCGGCACCCATCTTGCCGATAGTTTTTTCATACCCAATTGTTCGTGCAAAATTGAAATCACTGTGCCATGTGATATGTCATGTGGCCTCAAGAAGTTCGCGCACTTTCACTCGTCGATCAGTCAAAATAATATCGTAGACTTTATCGATGATTTCTGACGTAACAGCCTCAATTGGACGTCCCGAACGAGGTGCATCACGTGTACGACCACGTTTAAATTCATTCACCCAATTGTATACAGTCGCAAACGCTGATGCAAATGTGCTATGAATATTATCCAACTCTCGGCTTTGATTTCTTTCGGCGTTAAACCTTTCATATGCAGATGTTTGATCACTGCACGAAACTCGTTTTTTTCCATTTTGCAAAAAATGCAAAGGTTGTTCGCTTTAATCGTCTACAGAAATGAAACCACGCGAATGAATTCCGCTCAAAATTTGACGGTAACCAGTTGAAAAATGCTACTTGTCAAAAAGTAATATGACATGATACTGGGAGTGCCCTCTGAGATTTTCTAAGTACTTATTGACTTGCCCTCGTACTATCATCATCTGAGGAAAATCAGGCCAAATCCTTTCAGATCCACTCACCAAAACCTCCTTCTCTTTTTATTCCCTCGCTATCCTCTCCGTAACTTTTCCTTTCTATCACACAATACTTTCCACACACACACTCACACATACATAAATGCGTACGACTATATATTTCAGAATAGAGAACCAAAGGATTGTATTTTTATATTAAATGTATTACTAAATATTGCTTTTATTATAGTATTATTAAATTAAATCTTCGTTTGTCAATTCAATAAAACCTCTCCTTGTATTTATTAGCTCCCCCGCGGTTGCACTTCGCCCTCTTCCTGATCACTTGGATTAAGTTCCATGACCGAAAGCCAAGACATACGGATGTATTGACACATCTGGCGTTAAAGTGCGCCCTCCCGGCACACTGATCCAGTTGGACCTTTTAAATTAAAAGTACGTCCGTGTGTCCGTTTAGCGGAGCACGAGTTGAGGTTTCCATTTCGTCCTCCATTCGACCCCCGGCTCGTTAGGAGCCTCAGGACGAAGCGAAGTGCCTCTCGATTTGCGTCGGTCCTTCCCTACAGCTCTCTTGCAATCCGGAGCCTGGACACGACTAAATCAGTCTAATTCGGTTCCTGTTGCGTTCACCTCCTCCATGCATGCGGAGCTTGGACGTAACACAAGTATTGCTATGGATTGGAAGTAACTCGTTACTTACAACGAAGTTACAGTTACAAGTTCCTTTTTTGATAATCTTAGTAATAACTACGTTACTTTTTTTCTTTGGTAACTGTAACGGTAACGAATTTTACAATTACTTTTATCGGTATGATTGGACACGATACGACGCAAGTCACTTAACTGTAAAAAAATTTCGTAAATTTACACATATAATAAATGTAAAATAGACATGTCCTGTAAATATAAAAAATCCTGCACTTTTACAGAAATTATATAATTCCACAAAAATTATGTATATTTGCTTTTATTGTGTAAATATATCTTATTTTATATTAAAAATTATGTATAATAAATAGCAGGATATTTTGAATATTTTCCGTAATTATCAAAATTTTAGTAATATTACGTAATATAACAAATATTTCACGTATTGTTGTTAAATGTATAATATATAATGCAAAATGTAACTGTCATTTACACATACACATACACATTGTAATTGTACTTCCACAATCTGCTAATTACAAATAAAGAAATTATTTTTATTTGCATATTGCAAATTTACAAATGTGTGGACGTTTACAACTATTATAGTGGGTGTCAAAATTATCCAATATAATAGTTATAATTTTACACAACAATTTTTTACAGTGCATAGCGCTTGAGGCTAGAGAGGCCTCTAGGTCCGTCCGCTGTAATTGGCGGTCGTCGATTTAAAAAAAAGTAACGGAGAAGTAACGAAAAGTTACTTTCTCAAGTAACGGTAATTATAACGAGTTACTTTTAAAAATCGGTAACTTCTTATCGTTACTAGTTACTGATTTTTCTTACTCAGTAACGAGTAACTGCAATTTGTTACTTTTAAAAAGTAACTTTCCATTCCCTGAGATTGCTATGATTGGAGACTGCTGAGGATGACTTGAATATAGCCAAAACATTCAGTTTTGTATAGTTATATAATAGTTATAAATCAATCCCTGATGAAAATAATAATCGGATGTAATGGGAAAGTAACAGAAGCATAAACAAAACTTTTAGAAGGTGAAAATTGGAACATCGAAATGTAAAAGAAGCGTACATGCTTTTTTTACATTTTATTGTTTCAATTTTCATTCATGTTTCTGTTACTCCCCAGCAAACAAAAATGGATTGAAATGAATTGAAATGAATTCAGATTTTCAGAAACATTGATTCACGAATGTTAAAATGGAATGCTTTTCAATCCTGAATGCATTTTTATTCATTTATAGGAATTGCATGGAGTATATCTCTATGCCTTTCAATCTAAAAATAATATTAGTTTTTTCTGTGCAATTGTGAATACTGTTCAATTCAAAATTTTGAATAGGAAATGCAGTTATTCAATCCAATTGCATCTAATTGAATCTAATTGAATTCAATTAAACAAAAAAAAGTATTCGCTATTTAAAATACGCATTCGAATAGAAAAAAATGTCAATCCATTTTAATCCCTTCTCGTTTACTAGATCTTCCATTACATCTGATTTACGCTCCGATTTTTATTTTCATAAGGAATACAATCGAAATATATGTGTATATGATAATTGCACCAATTATCGCGTATTAAAGGCTCTTAACTGCCGGTTTTTTACTCTATTTATTATTTATTTTAATATTTCAAGAGCTCAATTTAAATTATTCGTTTTTTTAACAATAAAAATGGAATTAAGTGCCAAAATCAGAGCCTACTATGTCCGCAATAGGACATGCAATGTAAATCATATCTGAAGAACATGTTCTGAAATCAAATTGAAGCCAATATCAAAGCAGATATGGTAATAACAATATCATCATAGATCTACACTATATAAATGCAGACCAAATTTGTAGTTAAATATGCTGATAGAATGGCACTAAATACAACCCAGATCTATAGCCAGATATCCCAACAGAATGATGTCAAATACAAACAATTCAGTTTTATTTCTGAAATATTGTCGTATGTATTTTAGAATGTGAGGTTAATAAATAATTATTGATTAACATCACATTCTAAAATACATATGACAAAGTTATAAAATAGTCAAAAAAACATTCGGATTCTCATTAGAGAGAATTTGGGAATCTCCAGAGGATTCACCAATTTGCATGTGTTTTTTTATAGGATTCCTGGGCATTTTCTTTTTACGAGAAGCGAGTCCCTCTCGTGGCGGGACCGCGTATGACAATGACAGATCTTAATCAATTTTCGTCGACAATTTGCTGTAAAATTAGATCAGCAAGATTTGCTCAGCTTTTGTCATCAACTTGCTGTTAAATTACTTGTATTATAGAATTGATTAGAGAGCACAGATAAAAAAATCTACTTCTTATTAAAATAATTTTTAATCCAAATTGTACAAACCACCACTAAATTTTTTACTTTTAAATGCGATCTAAAATAATCAGTAATTTTTTTATTTTGAAAATATGTATAATACACCCTTATATAAACGTACATAGTACTTACTCTGAAATGGAGCAATTGCGTATTTTGGACATCGAGCCATAGTGCGGATTTACACGTGGTGAAGTTACCGTACAGTTTCTCGCAATTATTTACAAACTGATTACGCTCGAGCGTTATTATGGCATTCACTTCGCCGGCGCTTGCATATTTTACGGCCCCTTCGCGACAGTTCGATATCAAAGAGTAAGAAACGTTGTGCTGTACATCGCGATCTATTAATCACAAAAGTAAAAGAATTACAGAAGAGCAATCCAAAATAGACATACAAAGGATTTGTTATTCCTTTTTGCTAATATAATGTTATGGAAATTACTTACTAAAACCAATGGCAGATATCGGTAGAGTTACGATTTCTGCGATAAATCCATGCGTATTACTAGCGCCGTTAGCAAATAATCTAATGCTAATACTAGGATTCTGCGTTCTAAACAATTTTTTCTCATCAGGAGTATTAACTTCCAAATGACCAATCACTTTGGTGCTGATATTGTAAATGTCTCCGTCGTACATTGTTATACTATCATGCCGGCCTGGCTTGCCAGTGGAGTTATAAAGATTAAATTGCAAAAGTCTGGAAACTCAAGACATTAGTTTTCTAATTTTCATCGAGCTTTTGAAAATCATTTTCGTGGCCTGAAAAAGAATTCTGTATGTACCTGAATCCAAACGGTTTGGCTCTATAAGCACTGCGGAAGATCTTCACGCAATTCACAGGATAATTATCATATTTGTAATATACGATTACGCGCTCCTCGATTGTAATTTCTTTTGCAGTATCGCATATATCGACCATACTGAATAAATGATAAGGAATATTAAGATCCTTAATAGGCGTGAATGTGCTCTCATCTGACTCGCGGCCTTCTCCTGTCAAGGATAATATATTCACGCCGTTGCCGAGAACATTGTTAATTGTGTTGAATAATAACTCCACCTGTAATATACATAAATATATATGTGATTGTGCGTTTTATTTGAATTGTGTAAATAAGTATAAAACTCTGCTTTGCGTTTTTTTGCATACAAATTATGTATTCCGCATACCATATGCGTTGGAGATACGACATTTATGCCGTGATAAGCGCTGCGATCTATGTTTACGTGCACTATTGCCGGAGACTTCATAATCGACTGTATAGCGGCCGATTTCTCATAATGTAAAATTCCAGCACCAGTTATATTGATGAATTTGAGAACCGATTCAACGCGCCTAATTGTTTCATGAGTCACGATGTCGTGGATGTGATGTTCGTAGAGATGAGCTTCGAATTCACTGTTCGCAATGCGTATTCCGCCCCAGTAATCGTATGCATCGTCTATATTTCGCTTTCCGCAATGCAGGAAGACGAAGTTTCCGTTCCACGGACACTCATGACGATGACCGAACAACTGACCGTTCAGTCTGATCTGACAATCCTCGAGACTTTGCTCTTTTCCGGAACACTATAAAACGTTCAATGTTTATTGATCTCTTGAAACAAATAAGAAGCAAAATCAATCATACCTGCAGTGGTTCGGGCCAAGACCAGACACGCGTCAACGATCCGGGATGAAGCTCATATCTACGATCGTACGATACGTAAACGTTGAGAGTGTCATAACCGAGTTGTCGGCATGCTACTTGAGCGTTGCGCTCAGTAAATCGATCATCGCACAATGGGATCCACTGAAGGGTCGTCCTGTTGAAGTACTCTAGGAATCCTGTTACAAGAGAAAAGATGCAGTTAAATATATGAAAATGATAATATACATAATTATAATACATACAGTATTATGAGTGAGACGAGAAGATAGAAAATGTATAAGAAAAGATAGAAAGTGTACTGGCTAATAAAGCTAATAAAGCTAAATAATCTATTGGCACAAGTAGACAGTCGTTATGCTCACTCGAATTTTTTTTCTGACAAGAGCAAAATTTGTATAATTTTTCGCATTCAATTTTATTATTAAGGTCTTTTTTTAAATTAAAAAAAATTCATTGTTTTAATTAACAAAATTAAAAGCGTATAATATAACATGAGAAATAACAATACAATATCTATTTATTAAAGTAGAATATTGCTTTTGCACAGCGGACGGAAGAATTTTAATTGATTTTGGAACACAATGTCTGTCATTTTTATTAAATATGACTGTAACCGCATTTGCAATAGAGTAGGGATTTAGGGATTTAACTTCTTTTGCGATTAGACTCATTTTTGCTCCTTTAATTTTGTAGAGTTTGTAATTGTTTCAGCATTTTTAAAACGTTCAATTTGTAACTAAGGAGCTGAAAAATTCAGGATTCCAATATTAATTAAATTTTTTTATATTTTTGGATATAGCTACTTTTGCACTACAGACTATTCAAATAATAAGTTTCTTTTATAATAGCTTTTGAAATTTTTTCAGTCTACCTTCGTAGTGCAATACGGAACAATGTCCATCCTTGCACAAACGAATCGTCTCGTCCGGCATTGACATGATATTAGTGGAACTTTTCATCGGCGTCAGTTTGGGAAACGTAAAATTTGCGCTCGCTTCAATTCGTTTTATCGGTCTCATTATGATCTCGTGGCCGGGTACGCCAATGGCTTTCAGCGTTCCCAGGACTAGGATGCCAACGTTAGGAGCGAATTCCATTACGACGTCGGGATAGATATGTAGAGTAGCTTCCGGCATAATCGTAATATCAGAATGTATGACGTAGGGCTCGGGTCTCGCGTACAGCGAGAGATTGTCCACTATGCGACCGCCCAAATTGTTCAGGTCGATCTCGCGATTTATATGCCGCCACGCGGAAGTAGACGCTTCAAACGAATCGCTCGTCAAGTACGGCCGATAGTTGGCCACAGCGTGATCATTCCAGTCGTCGAAGTCGAAAATCCTCTGTCTGCGGAAGAACATAAAAGTAAACTAATTATTGAAATAAGCTCTAAATCAAATGCAAATGTAAAAAACGTAAATCGTACGTTTATATGAAATTACCTGATAGAGGTGTCGTTAGCAGTACCCCACCAATTCTCCCTGACATCTACTTCGTTGTTGATCTTGGCTGTCCTGATACCTGCCAATAACTCATAATCCAGCGAGTTCTCGCCGAAGAGATTTTTATGTACTTGTACTTTCTGTATGCCGTGGAAGCCGACGACATAGCTGGGATCGTCAAACGTTCGACGTGGTCTCAAATTGCTGGGATCGTACATATTTTGCTTAATCTCGTTGCGATAGAAACGAGCATAAATGTCACCGAGGATTTCGGACTGGCTGTCCGCTCGGAACTCAACCATGTAAACACCATTATTACCCTCGATATAATTATTATCGATTCTGATCTTTTTTTCCATGCCACGCACGGATATTAAACCGGTCTTACAGCGATTGCTGTCGAAACGATTATAGGATATATTAAGATGCGCGAAATGTCCGTCCACTACAAAGCCAAACTGTTCATTGTTACGCCAGGTGTTGTTCCCAAAGTATAGAGAGTGTGTGAAGTTTTCGTTGTACTGCCAGACATCTGGTAATAACACTTCAAATCCACCGCCATGATTTCTTTCAATTGTGCTATCCTGCATTATCCAGTGGAAGAGATTGTTGGATTGCCTTGCATCGCGGCTGAATTGATGTATCCCTTTACCGTTGTCTGTTATCAAGCTGTTATTTATATGTATCGAGATCTCGGACAAGTTCGATTGGAAGATATTCCAATAAGGCGAATGCACGTAAACGGCTTCTTCATGATTGTGTGATATCTCGCATTCGACTAATTGAATAGTCTCATTGGCTTTCCGTAGAAAATGATATCCGATTTCATTCAGATATCGATTGTAGTAGGACGCGAGCACACCTTTCTTATTGTTCTTGATCTTTGTCTTTGTGACAAATAACAAAGGAATAGGACCGTTGACTATTTTATTGTGAATATTCTGTAAATTATAATCCATAACATTAACATAAAATCAATGTTACACCGTTAAATTTATAATGTAAAATTATATCAATATAACTTGAGTTATTTTTAATCATTCCTAAAGGCCACTACACAATATGTCATTAATTTAATTAAAAACAGTAAATTCAGATTCAGATTTTTTAAATGCTAGTAGCAGCATTATCAAATCAATTTAACTGTGATATTATTATTACTTCAGCTTCAATTTATATGATCGTGTTTCAATTGTCCAGCATTACGAATTTAGAATTTACATGAAAAAATATATATTATTAGGCATTATCTAGCCTAAATTGCATTGACTTTTTTCGAAGTACTTATTTGATTTATCCATGTAGCAGTTTAGATTATCTTATTATTTAAACAATTTATTTCAAGAAACGTTGATTAAAATTTAATGTATTATATACTAAGTGCATAAGTTAATATAAACCCTGTTTACTTTGAAACTAAGCAATTTAACAGAAATGGATTGATTAGATGTGGTTGTTTTTTAATCACATGTTTTGTGTCAAAATAATACAATTCGGCATTGGAAGTTTAAAATAACAAAATGTTATTTAACTCAAGAAATTGATTTAAATTTGATTGATTTGAGAACATTTAATTTAACAGCATATATCTCTGTTATTAATGTAATATTTATACTTAAAATATACCTGTCTTGGAGCCGAGAGCGACGTGACAACTATGACAGTTCCACCAAGAGCATTCTCACCGCTATCATACTCCAAAAGTACTACAAAGGAACTAGACGAGACGGGGAAAACATTCAGGTCCCGTTTTACGTGCCAAACCGTCTGATTTATGTCGAAATGCTGTGAGTCGTGTAATATAATTTGTTCCGTACTTCGATTTTCAATCGGGTTCAATAATTGGATACCGATGACATAGCTTGGTTTGCACTATAATTTAGATAAAATTTAGTTCAACTATGACAACAAGATACTTCTTGCGAGAAGAAAAAGAATTTATACTTCAATGTTGATGATACGACGGACGGAGTCATTGATTACTTTAGTCGTGATAATGTATTTGGTCTCTCCATTAGCAAGTTTGATGTTCTCGGTCATTTCCGGCAAGATTATCGGATTATACGGTGAATCGACTGTGGTGTCCGATTTCCGCAGGAACCATCCCGCGAATTCTCTTTGCTGAACAGCCGAGAGAGCGGGATTGTGTCTTATTCCCGCGACCTTGTTGTTTTCGATTCGTGAATTAACAATCCGCATACCTAATTGCTTGAAACTGATGCCGCTCCCGCCGTTTTGAGAGAAGTCGCTATTCGTCACAGTGTTTATCGCGTCCGCCGAATATATGTCTGAATACAAAATTCCTAAGCCGTCTTGCAGATTGTTCAAGACCTTGATACCGTTCAGTGAATGCCGAGCAAAATCAATTTGCAAAGCTGTAATACAAATAAACAATGTAAAGTAATAATTCGCGCGATTGATTATTAAGAGAACCTCTAAAGAATCTGAAAAAATTACCTGGTTTAAATGAATTAGTTTTGTAATCCAACAAGCCTGCCTTTTCAATTGTCACGTACTGCAAGTCACTTCTTTGAGCCAGCGGTCCTAATCTGAGACCAGCCCATGCCGCCTCCAGACACCTGACACCAACATCGTTCTCATGAGTACACGAGTTTTCAAAATCTTGTTCCCTTTCCGCTCGACATTTAGTTATATCATTGTCGTACTCGGTACAGCGCACGTTGCTGAGGAGTATCTTCTCATTGATCCCTGCATTCGGAATTTGCGATCGCTCCATAAGCCAATTCTCGAAGTCGAGGATAAAGCCTAACTGATGACAAACGAGTGCTGCATCCTGAATTGTCCATCCATAATTGCACACAGTGCCCCATTCATTTCCAATTTTTACCTTTCAGAATAAAAAAACAATTAAAGATTATGTAGATTGTAATGTTTTTCTCTATTTCATTATTTGAACAACACTATTCATTAATATTTGTTGTAAAATTTATACAATACGATTCGATAAATTGACTCCTTAAATATAAATTACGTTTAAAAAATAAAGGGTGGGCCATCTATTGGTACGTTTTTGAATTTCGTCGTATGGCAACACCAAACGAGCTACAGACCCGAAATTTTGACAGTTTATTAGTCATACCGTCCGCGGCACGAAACAACATGTTTTCTCTTGAAGAGCGTTTTGAAATTTTAAAAACTTATTTTCAAAGTCAGTGCTGTGTCGCCGAAAC